GCTTTTTTTGACATTTAAGATTGCAAATAAGCCTACTCTAATAATATGTTTTTAATTTTTTTTTCAAGTCTCTAATTTCTGTTCTTAAAGCCTTTATAATATCTTCTTTTCTTTGCATACTTTATCTTAAAACTTTAAATTTATATGGCATCTTGTTTCGATGTACTTTGGAAGAGTTAGCTACTGAGAAGATATAAATGATAACATACTCTAAAAATTTTTTTCTCTGTGGTCAATTTTTGTTTAGACATATTGCAAGCTGTAACATTTTTGATAGAATCTAAAAAAGAAAAAGATCTACTATTTATCATTGATAAATTAACACACCTGTTAATTTATCAATGATAAATAGTAGACCACACCTGTTCCACAGGTGATTTAACAGGTGAACAGGAAATAACATTATTTAAACTAATTATGTCGGGAGGCATAGTTCTTGATTGCTGCATGATTGGTGTTCCGCATATAAAGCGCTCATTGTAAAATGCTGCTAAACATTTGCGATCCCTTTTAAAGTTTTTACAATATTTTTGGCCGTGTTCACAACACGTTTGATTTAAGGTTTACAGTTGTTCAAAATTAATAATTTATTGATTTGACTAACAGTTTTCAAATATGACTCACCATTTTCAATGAATAATAAGAGAATATGCCCATTTTTTGAGTAAGTATTAATTTCACTTAACAGTGTAAAGTTTTCAGCTAAGTAGCTGAAAACTTTACACTGTTCATTGGTCCATGTAACACACAAACACCCTTTTTTTGATGCATAATACTTTAAAAAACTTTATATAATAGCTTTATATAATATCACTTAAATATAATTTAAATATGATTTTATAAAGTAACCATTACATCTAGTGATTTTTTGGGTATCCGGTTAGGACCCAGGGACCCGATAATTCTTCTGCTTTCCTGGGTATCTGGAATCAGACATTTTTTTGTAGTACCCAGCACCGTATCTTTAAAGAAATTTTTAATAAACATTTACCTCAAATGCTGTAACTATGTTTAAGTGGCATTTTAAATTGTGTCAAAATATTAACAGGATTACTTTTAGTTTTAACTTCAACTAATAAACTTCTTGATATAAATTTAAGAGTATGGAGTCAATAACCACAAAGCACTATTTACTTAGTATAGACGTATCTTACTTAAAATATTTTTTTATTTTATTCACACTACAATTGCGAAGGTCTACTCTTTTTTTTTAAATTTGCAATTCTGTCTCTCTTAATTTTTTATTTTCCATAACATAACTTTTAATTAATTAGCGTATATTAGCGATTATTTAGCAATAATAACAAGACAAAAAATAAATTATATATCATACCATAATTATAAAACAAAAATTAGTTAGACAGAACAGGATTTTTTGAAGTTGATGAAGTTAATTTTAATTATAAAGCTCTTGATGATTTTGGCATTAACAATGTAAGGCAGGAAGTTATTTCGAATATTAACAACCTATTAATCATTATTAGCTTAATTAGCGCAAATTAATCAGTGTTATTTTGTGAAAACAAGTCAGTGTTAGAGATTTTTCAAGCTTTTATTTCACCTTTTTAATATGGACTTGTTGCTTGGTACCCGAATTTGGACCTTTTTTTTCCTGAGTACCTGCAATCGAGGACTCTGCATTTTAGAACTAAATAAATATTGAAACAGTTTTAAATTAAATTTAGTTTCAAATAATAATTTACTATTAAGTATATTTAAATATATTATTATTAATAATGATTATTAAATAATTACTAATACATTATTACTAATAATAGATATTTATTAAATTTAATAATTACAATGTTTTATAATATTAAATACAATAATTATTATTGCATTTAATATTATAAAACATTATTATTATTATAATAATATTAAAATTTACAAAATCATTAATATGATTATATTAGGAGTTAAGTCAATAACAATGTCTTGGGTCTATTTAAAATAGTCACACAAGATTCTCAATCTAATACCACCCCCTCCGCCAATACAGAATTTGGAAAAAGGGATTTTAGGTACCAAAACTGTTTACATTTTTGTTTACACTTTTATTGGTATCTGCGACTAAATTTTTTCTTCTGAAATTTGGCAGGTGCTTATATAATGTGTATAAAAAGTTATCCTGATAGTTTTGAAAAAAATCCCAACACTCCTCCAACATTAGTTTTTGACACAAGAACAGCAATTAAATATTCAACATCAATAAAGTCAAATTGAAATGTGTCAACTATACATAAATACCACATTAAAATCAAGCTCCTCCTTTTCTTTTTTTCAAAAATGATGTAAGTTGTTATACATTTAAAAATAAAATGCCCAAAAAATGTTTTTCTTGCACTACTTTAAAAAAAGTTCAAAAACGTGACAAAGAATTTTAGCACTTTTTTTGGCTCTGTAAAACGTGATATTCGCGTACCTAATTTATATAAGTTTTTTTTTACTTAAATTGTTATAACTTTGTCAATTCTTATCTAAATGCTAATAACTTGGAAGAGAGCTACAAATTTAAATTGTCCCCTGGTCGGTTGGCGTATCCAGGGGGTTAAATGGGGCAGAATTTTTATTATTTAAAAAAGCATGTTTTTCCATAAAAAATTTATTTTTTAATTAAATTTAAAATTTTTATATACAAAAAATTGTTTTATTTTAATTCAGACCTTAAGCAAATATAAGCTGTCTGTCTTACAGTTGAGGTTGGATGTATGGCATAGGTTACACACCCTAGTATAAAAAATCTTTAATTCTTAATCTTTTAGTTTATTAAAATGAGTTAAGCTCTTACCATAAGTAAAAATTAAAGTTTACTACATTACAACATATATAAGAGAGTGGTGCATACATTAATTTAGTGCAGGCTTTCACAGGAAGGCATGTGATTTCACGTCTTTATATGACCACACAAAAAATAATATGTTTTAACGATTTGGCCACAGCTTTTTGAAATTTAAAAATGCGCTACAAAAACTTACTTAAAGTTATCTAAAAAAAAATTCTATAAAGAAAAAAAATCCTAACGAAAGAGAAAATTAAAAAAAAAACTTAGTTAAAACAAAAACACAAAAAAATAAATATATATGCACAACCCAACTAAAACAAAACTCATTAAACTAAAATGCTTGAAACAAAAAGTCTATTTAATTTATGCATTGAAAAACCATTTCAAACATTTGTTTGAACATTTATACTTTTTTTCTAAATATATTTCAAAGGATAACCATTTCTCATAAAAAATACGTAATTATATAAATAAAAAAAACAAGGCTTGATTAATACTTATTTGAAAAATTAATTAGAAGTGTTTTGTTACTTCATTGAAAAGGATTTTGATAATTTAAAAGCTTCGATAATATAAAAAATCAAACTTATTTAATTGTAACGGCTTTCTAAAACTTTTTTTTTCAACAAAGTTTTGTTTATCCTTTTAAATGTATTAACTTTAGTTATTCTTATTAAAATTCGTTAGAGACTTTTGTAGTCGTAGAATGTCATCGTTTATAAAAACAAAACAATTTTTTATTTTCTTATAACGTTCATTATAGAAATGCACACTTAAACAATTTATATATTATAAATTAAGAAAATATATACAACTTTCAATTATATTTAAAAAAAAATCCATTATCAGTAAATTGTTACTTTATTTAATATTAGCGTTTCGCTAATATAAAAACATTTGTTAAGAAGTTTTGATGTAATTAATTTCACTTTTCAGAATATTTTTCATTTAGCGCATTTTTAACTCACAAATGCAACCACGCTTTCTAAATGTATATGGGATACACAAAATAAAACAAAAACAACACCCAATTTAAAATGGTCCATCATAAAATATGCCCCCGCGTACAACAACATAACCAAAAAATGCTTGTTATGCTTATACAAAAAACTAATTATTTTATTGTATAAAAATCCTCAAGAATGATTAAACAAAAAAAACAAACTAATATCTAAATGTCGCCATGAGAAAAAGTTTTTGCTGGACAACCACAAACCAAAAGATTAGATTTTGTAACTCATTTTCTTTTGTACAGATTTATTATTTTTATGAGAAAAAAAACATATTTACACCTGATGATTGCATTTAGCATGAAACTAATATTTGTGAAAAATATGCAGTTTTATTTATAATTAATATATGTAAATACAGCTCTGTTTTAATTTAAATCATTTTAATTTACTTAATTCATCGAGCACTCTCGCGAAGATATATGCAAGCACTAATACGTATACATATAAATATATATATATATATATATATATATATATATATATATATATATATATATATATATATATATATATATATATATATATATATATATATATATATATATTATACAATGCTTATGACTTTTAGTAATTTTGATCTGCAAGTATATGGATTTTCATATATGGATAATAGGGCACGGTCCCCACTTTTTTGTTGTGGAATATTCCAATTGATTTATTACTACTTTCCATACAAACTGGAGCTATAAAATTTTCAGCATTCGTGTAGTCCTGGTAAATGTGTGTTAAAAATATTTCTGGGGCAGATGACCAGAGGGTCTATAGGGCTGGGGCACTAGGGGTCATGCCCCACTTTTCTTTAAAAAAAATTTTTTTTTGTTTCATTTTTACTAAAGTAAAGAATTTTTTATTTTTTATATTTGTTCCATTCCTTTTTTGATCATTCTGTATTCAATGATCTTTCTTAAAGTGTTTTAAGAAAGTACATATGTTTATAAAATTTTTGATTTGCAAGTATATGGATAAAATATCCATTAAAGAATGTTTTCTTTTCCTGATATTTCTGTATTTAACCTAATTAGCAAAGTAACATCAGTACATTGAAAATTAACATTAATACATTTAATTTGGTGAATTTAATCTGTGTAAATATGATATGTTTCATTGGATTGGTATAATAAATGAAATTGACAGTATTGAGTAAGATGTTATGGTAACATTTATGTACCGCACGGTCTTTTTAACAAACTTTTTTTCTTATCTAGATCAGATGAGTGTTGGGTTCCAATTACCAACATAATTTGTACCATTAATGCACCTGTAACAACATTTGGACTTAATTGCAACACTATTGAAGTAGGTAAACTCAAAACTTGTTTGTAGTAAATCATTACCTTAGTTAAAATTTTATTCTGTTATTGAATTTAAGAGTGAATGTTTTGTTTTAATTATGAATTGGTGATATTTAAATTTTAAAATAATTATCTACAGTCTTCTTTTAAATTAAGATTATTATTGTAGTAATAAGTAGTGGGGCGTAGTGATAAGGCAAATATTGTCTTCTTTCAGCCCTTGCCATACAGATTTGATTTATATAATACAGCATTGTTAGAGTTTGGGAATACCTGGTATTTTAGACTTGGCTAGCCTTCAAATATTTTTCGGGTCCGGGTCAGAGTTGCGACTCAAAAAAAAACCAACATATTTTGTTTTTTTTTTAAAAAAAACTTTTTTTTTTTTTTTTTTTTTGCAAAAAAATAAAGCACTTCTAAAAATATGTTTTTTTATGTTGTTTTTTGTTTTTTTTAGTCTTCTTTAAATTTTAGATGTTAAAGAACCTTGAAACAGTTTCATCTCAAATAAACTTAAAAATATACATGCTTTTTTGTTTAATACAATGTGTATTACCCTATATATAAACTATAATCATTTACACGTCAATGTTTAAAAAAACACTGTAAAATATAAGAAAACTTGTGTTTTATAAAGTTACTGTTTTGTAATACTACTGTATTAAATTTTAAACATAGTTAAGTTATGTCCATTAGTTATTTCAATAAAATAGGGGAAAGAAGTTTGAAAATTTTTGACAATTGTTGACAAAGGGAAGAGGGAAAGTCAAGAAAATTTGACGCAAAATAAACATTGCTGCCAATGTTAACTTATAAAATAAATCGAGATGTATCAAAAGAAAAAGAATGTTTTCTTCCATTTAATTTTCTTAATAAGGTTATGAAGGAGGGGAGGGGGAGAAGAGTAGTCAAATGTTGACCTAATTTTATAGGAGAGGGGGGAAGCAGGCTCTAGAATTTTAACAAAATGTTTGCAAAGAGAAGGGGAGGTTAAATTGCCAAAAAATTGTTAACATAATTAATGGGAAGCCATAAGGTAGATTTTAAAGATTCAATTTTGTCAGTCTATAATAGGTATTTTTAATCTTGTTGCATTGTTATTCATATTACTAACTGCTAGTTAAATTTTATCGCTTCCATCAACAAGTATGGCAGTTGAAAAATCATTTGGTAGACAATCTTTTATCCACAATTAAAAGCAAAATAGGTTTTGATTTTAAATATAGGTCCAAGTTTGGACAAAAGCAGGATGTGTCATGGTACAGTGGTCCCTATTAAATTAGGGGTCTCAAAAAGTAAAGATAAAAAATGGACTCTTTTTATGCTGCAGCAACACCAAAAAATTTACTGCAATTTACACTATGAATAACTTGGCATACCGACCGCATCAGCTGTCATGCACAACATTTGAACCTAGACCTAGGCGTTGTTATGACTAACAATCTGAAGGTTAAAAAATGAGTCTTCACAGCTGCATCAGCTGGCAATTGAATGCCTGACAAGTTCAAGAAAGCTTTTTGAGGTTGAAGTTCAGCATTATGACGCACACTGTATACTTCATACAATCGCCTGCACTTAGAATTTGCAGTACAAGGCACTAATTCCTGCTCAAGACATAGCTAAACTTGAACATTTTCAATACCGAGCCACAAAACATACTGCCAACTTAAAACACTTGCCTTATATTCAGAGATTATCAAGAACTAATTTGGCAAAGATAATCGAACGATGAGAAAGAAGAGGCCTTATTTAGCAATACAAAATCATCAGCAAAACTGACAAAGTTAACTTCTCAACTTTAACCTAACACTGAGTCTTTAAAGTACAGTCTCTGACTGCGTTGACATATCAAATAACTGAAAGCACTACTTGTACAAAACTGCAGAAAGAAACAACTTCCTCACTAACTGTTTTGTCAAACCATGGAATGCTTCTACCCAAAATGTAATTAAAATAACCTTAATAATTCTAAATTTGAATTTTCTTTGCTCTGGCATCTTAACTTTATGAAATGAAATCCAAAAACTATAAAACTGTTATAAAGTGGCCTGATGTAGCGACCTTTGTCAATAACTTTTAAATTTTGTTGATTAAGAATAAACCAAATAAACAAACAATATTGATGGCTTGATTATAGTAGACACTGTAATCAAGAACAAAATCTGAAAATTTTTTTTTTGAAAATTTTTTGAAACTTGAATTTGGGTGAACTTTGCTAGGTTATTTCAAAAAGAAGTTTTTAAAATTTTGATTTCAACAAAATTTTTCTGGGATTCATAGCCCAGGACCCTTGTGGGGGAGACACATCAACATGGCCTAGGGGCTCCACCGAGGTAAATCCAACCCTTGGTTATCAAATGACAGAGTATTAGAATTAGTTTTTATTTCCCATAATTTAGATCTTGAAAAGTATATATGCAGAATAATCTATGACTTGAAGTAAAAGACAAGATTTTATTCTGGGCAGTGTTACTAAGCGGAATTAACTAAACCGACATTACTAAGCATTCTGTAGTAGTGAGTTTGGTTCTGTAAACTGTTGTTTAAAAAATAGTTTAAATTATTTTTAAAAAATCTAAAATTAAAAAAAAAACCAAAAAAAAATTTTTTTTTGCAACTTTTTCTGGGTCTAATCCATTTTTTTTTCTCGCAATTTTAACAATAGCATGGATGGGTTTTTTGTGTTCAGGCTGATTAAAAACATTTTGGTAAATATTATGGCAAATAAAATTTTTTTTAGCTTGCTTCAACGCAAATCTATTAGTCTATACTTTTTTTATAATGTTAAACTACCAAATAAACTTGACATTTTACATAAAGCACATATGCTTTTATTTTGATCTTCACAACTTGGCAAAGTTGGACATTTTGCAACTTCTTTCAGTGTTAATGCTAGTGTGATTTCTGTATTTTTGTTATTTTCAGTTGAAATGTCCCTTTTTATAATGTGTATTTTGCTGTTCTTTGTCCTCATCAAATAATCTCTTCAGTATATCTGTTGTAAATGTTTGCATTTTCTTTGAAGGCATAGTACCTTTTACAAAAAGAATCTAATAGCTCTTCTAATTCTAACTTTTTTTTTTGGCTATTTATTTGAGTGTTCATCTAATTAATAACTCTCGACTTAAATTACCATTTAATTCTTTTAATAATTAGTTTCTTCTAATAAAGTTCATAATTATGTCCACATCGAGAAAATAAATCAACAAGCTAGGAAGTCCTTTTTGAGTGTGTGAGTGTTTTCTATCTGTTGACCAATATCGCACCCCTTCCGTATCTATTAGGTTGGCACAGATGTATTTATACATACATAGTTTCCAATTTAGGATGTTGAATGCTGGATCTTCTTGATTCAATGCACAGGTTTTGCTTGTGTCTTTATTTTTATGACTAGGTATCTCATTCTATTATCTTCTAATGAATGCGCAGCTCTAAAACCCAGTTTTTTGGTTCTGAGGCCGGTTGGTATTCAGGTGAACTCTGTGATTCCATCAACAACTGTAAAATACCAGTACTAACAGTGTTGCACATGGATGGTGTCCTGCTTTTACTTTTGGTGTGCATTGTAGAGGCCACATTTTGGAGCTTGTTATGGGTTAGGTTTTAATAATAGTATTAAATATTGTAATGGGCTATTAAATAGTGTACTGACTACTTTCTGTGCTTTGAGTCAAGTTTTTTGACAAGTTTAAAAATGACTAAAGTATCAAAAACTATAAAACTCATAAACCATCATCATCACCAAATTCTCTAATTTTTGTGATCTTTGAAGTAACTGTTCTGATGAGTCTCATCTCTTGCAAAGTTCATTAGACTTAGTTGATCTTTGTGAGACTAGTTTAAGTTCAGCTGCCTCATCTTGTGAGCTTGTTGATGGTTATCTTCCTTTTATTTGCAAAGAATCCAATAATTATATGTTTGGCCTGTTTACTATTGTCTAACACCAAAGAAATCTCGTATTTCATCTAAAAATTAGGCTCTCGTGACTACTATATGACAGGACGCGCAAATTCGATTTTTTGAATTCACTGCCAAGTCCATTAAATATTTCTTACTAAACGCTTATAAAATTAAGTTTAACCAAAAAAAGTTTTGTAAAACCAATATTAATAAAATAATTTTACTTTGAATATAAGTTAGTTTTATTAAAAACTTAATAACAAAGTAAAAAGTTAGTATATAAAACTCTATAAGCAAATAAACAACATATTAAAAAATTCTATCTATAAATTAATATTACTCAGCAAGGCAAAGATGAACTGTGTCAAACAAAAGAAACCAAACACCCTGATCATCTAATGGATGAATGGCCTGATAGTCAGTAATTCTTTTGAAATTTTTGCAGTATTGTACATTGATTTTATGATTATCTGTTACAGATCCTGAAATAATGGCACCATTTTTTTCAGCTAAAACAGCAGCTTCTTTCACAACACTGAATTAATACATTGATGTTAGTTTGTAAACAGCTGTAACAGAAACCATTAAATTAGTTCCACTATGTAAGCATTTCATCATTACACATAGCATAGAAGTTGCTTTAGACTCCAGATCATTTTTTGCCATCCCATATAAAACTCTGCCTGAATAAGCAACTGTTGGTCTGGTTTTTAAGTTATCAACTATCAAAAAAACATTTTTCTGATGATCGTTTTTTACTTTTTAAAATGTTTTTTGTAATACAAGATCGATGTTTGTGGCAGAAATTAAAGACTGCATTATTTGTTTACTTGGAAGCACTAAAAAATCACGAAGTTGGTTGTAGCTGGTTTTATAAAAAGATATATTGTTGCTTTATAAAGCTGATATAAAGCTGATTATTGCTTTGCTCAATAGCAAAGCAATAATCAGCTATAGTAAAACTTTTGTTACACAATAGTTTAAATTGTCTTGTAATAAAATTCAGTTTTTTTTGCTTGATAGCATCATTTGTTTCAAATTCATGTTCTGAAAGAATCACCTTTTCAATAATATCATGCAGATTATAATTATAAACTAAATTAATAATAAAAAATTGTGAGTAGAAGACGAAGCCATTTTTGGGATTTAATATATTGCTTAATGGAACACTGATACTATGTTTAAAAGCAAAAAAAGTTAGTGTTGAACACAATATACACTTATTGTTAACAATTATTGTCATAATGTACTTTTTAAATTTCTTCGACATAAAAATACATATGAATTTATCTTTTTGCTAAAATATTACAATATTTTCATAAATTTTGTGTAATTCTTTGTCAGGATAGAATTTAGAAACCGAATTTATTTTGTCTTTTTTAAGAAAATATTTAAGTTGTTGATCCTCAGGCTTAGTTTGGCAAAGGACTGACTTGATGTTTGTAGGCAGGAAAAAGGAACATTCAAAATACTTGGTGCACATAGTGGTCAAGTATAGCCACCAGGAAGCTTAATCATTTCTGTATTTTCAGGACAATGTTTTTCACTTATAAAAAATTTAGATTGCTCTATAACAAAATCTATTTCTTTTACTCAACTTCATCTTTAGAAAGATATTTTCAAAAAATATTACTGTAACATTAAAAACGCTTTCACTTTAATAATGGTCTTCGCTAGCGAAGTCAGAAAATCGCATTTGCGCGTCATATAGTAGTCCTTGCAGTATATATGATAAAGGCAAATCTGTTATTCCGCCTTTCTTGTATGGTTTAGATTTTACCACCTCATCAAAAGACAAAGTTGAATTGTTTGCTAAGAACTTTTCATCAATCTCCACTCTTGATTCCACTAATCACATCTTACCTTATATAGCCAACAAACATTTGATCCATTGCTTGACATTCTTATCGCTCTAGCTTCTGTATCTAAAGTGATTTCTTGCTTAGAGTCTTCTACAGCTTGTGGTCCGGACAACATACCTGTTATAGTCTTGCATAACAGGTATGTTGGCATGATGATCTTCTCCATAAGCTTTCTTCTTACTATGTAAGAAGAAAGCTTATGGAGAATATTATATGGTGTATCTTTAATTCTTTCTTACCACTTTTCTTCATATCCTGTAACTTCAGGGGTTCCTCAAGGTTCTATCCTTAATCCTATACTTTTTTAATTTACATTTTCGATTTCCCTGAAATAATCACATCTAAGGTGGCATTGTTCGCTGATGATAGTACTATTTATTCTTGTCTTAATAAGAAGCCAACACTCTCTGATTGCTTGGAGGGGGTATTTGTGCTTGAAAAGGATCTCACTACTGCTACAACATAGGGCTGGTGGATGGTGAACTTTAACTCAGATAAAACTTATTTTTTTTCAGCTAATCGTTATATAGATCCAGCGTCTCTTGTTGCATCAACTTAAATATGCTCTTGTGTTACTCGTCATTCAATTAAGTCTCATCTTTTTACTGTGACTGTTCCTAAGTGCTTTAAAAATTCTTATTCTTCTAGTTTTAATTCTCGAACATCAGTCCTTTGGAATTCGCTTCCTTCATCTTGTTTTCCTGATTTATATTATTTGTAATCTTTTAAGTCGTCTGTTAATCGTTATCTTGTTCTACAAATTTCATCTTTTCTCTTCCAGTAACTTCCAACTCTAATAGTCGTTGCTTGTAGCGTTGTCGTCACACTTAAAAAAACATAATAGCTGAACAAATAACAATACAGTACAATTAATTATCTTGTATCCACATAAATTATAATTTTTTGTAGATGTTTTAATAGGGTCTACCTTAAAAAAAGATTTATTGAGCTTTGTGAATCTGTTAGTAGAAGACTAGTATTTGCTGAGTTTGTGTGAATAAAAATTTATTGCAAAATATATATTCTTTTTTACTGACGAAATAAATTTCTTAAAAATAAAAAAAATAAAATTGTTTGTTTAATTAGGAAATGTTAATTTAGTTTAGTAAATAATGCTACTTTTTAAGTCTATCAAGTTCACTTGATTTAAAACCTTTTTTACTTGATACAAAACTTGTTTCTGAAACTGATGAATTTAACTTATATTAAAATATAAATATTGTCCCTTTTTAGATAATGAGTTATCGTCATTCATTTGGACACAGAAGAAGAGCGAAAACATAAAAATTATAACATTTAAATTTGTCAATACACCTAAGCACAAAAGTTTAATCAAGATTTATGACAACGTGCTAGTTTTTCTAACCAAATTTAACGGATTTTACTTGTGTATATTTTGTTTTTTGATATTTATGTTTGTATTGATAAAATAGATAAAAAGTATAAATTCACACATTCTACATTACCTCCGTAAAACTAATTGAACGTTAGACGATGTATTTTACTGATAATATAAAAGTTTAATCTAAGCTGACAGGTGACATGCCTCGTTCTGGAAGACCACCAAAACAAGGCCGGCTTTAGGCATAGTCTAACAAGAAAGCCGCTTAGGGTTCCGATAGGTGAGGGCCTCCCTGTTGGGCAGGAATTTTTTTATTGTTTTTTAAGATTTTCTAAAGTTTGTTTAAAAAATGAAAGTTATTTTTCATCAAAAATCTAAAAGAGGTTTCATAGTTTTTCCAAACTCTCCAAAAAATTTGGTCAAAGTAGTCAGACTGTTTTAGAAGAAGCGCTCAATGAGTTGGCTAACTTATAGAAAGAAATCATGGACATAGAATATATAGTTTTAAACGAAACAAATGAGAGCCAAAATATTAACTTTGATTGAAAAAATTTATGCTTATGGCAATTTTCAAATGGCGATAAAGAACATTTTTATTTAACAACCGTTTCGTGATTTAGGAACAAAGTACCCGTAAGATAAAAGTTCTGAAAAGCAACATTTCTCTTTGGATCTTTTTAATAAGTTTAGAAACAGTGAATACTTAGATTTTTGTTGGCCAGTTTATTTGAACCATAAAAATGCTGTATTTTATTTTTGCATGCGTTTCTACTTAGATCTAAAAATTAAGCTCACAATTGGACAAAAGATTGGGAAAAAATGTCTTGTTTTCTGTGAATTGTCTAAAAATCACAGTTTACGCTTAGTTTGAACTAGAAAATTGATTAAAGGAACGAGAGACAATTGACAGCAAAGCACAAAAACTTATCCAAAAAGAGATTCAGCACTGAAAAAATGTTTAAAAAAAATCGTTTTAGTTACATTCGTTTGCAGAACGGAAGTTAGCACATTGGATCAATTCAACCAACAATGGAAATTTTTCGGAATTGGTCAAATTGTTAAGAAAGTACGATTTATGTCTATTATTATTGAATTTAGATTTGTCTATTATTACTGAATTTAGATTTGTTAGAATATAACAAAAATAAAGACGTCAGAAAATTATTTAATATCATATTTCAAAATCGCTTCTCTCCAACAATAAATAAACCAACTAGAATAACAAAAAAAAGTACCACATCCATTGATCAAGTTCTAACTAATGATTTTAAAAATATAAAAATAAAAACTGGAATATTTATAACTGATATATCTGACCACTCTTCAGTCTTTATAATTTCACAAAAATCAATAAACCAACTTTCCGATAAGGTAAAAACCACAAAACGAGTTACTAAGGATGCCTCTCTTGAAGTTTTCATTAATTTTTTATCTATGACCAACTGGGAACCTGTTTTGAATACTAAAAATGTTAATAAAGCTTATGATAATTTTTATTGTATATTTCAAAACCTCTACAATAAAGCATTCTAAATTTACTAAAACAAAAACATTACAAAATCCCTAATTAACACACGGCATCATTAAAGCTTCCAAAAAAAAGCAACGTTTATATCAAAAGTTTATTAAAAAAAGAACATATAAGAATGAAACAAATTATAAAAACTATAATCATCTTTTTGTGATGATTCTAAAGCGCGCAAAAAAGTTTTATTGTTGTTGCCAATTACTAAATAACAAAAATGATATAAAAAAAACTTGGAGCATAATGAAAGAGGTTATCGGTAAAAAAAGTATTAATATTAATGGTTTACCAAAAAAGCTAATTATAAATGATTGTGAAATTACTAACGAGTCTATAATTGTTATTTTGTTTAACCATGCATTTGTTAGCACAAGCCCAAGATTGGCATCAAATATAAAAAAAGTAAAACCTGCTTCAATACATTCCTAAACCCTAATAATAATATTCTTTATAATAAGCAATTTGGATTTAAAAAGAGTCACTCTACTGATCAGGCAATTGTTCATCTTGTTCAAAATATATTTAAATCGTTTAATGAAAATAAATATACATTAGGTGTATTTATTGATCTCAGTAAGGGTTTCGACACTGTTGATCATTTAATTTTATTAAAAAAATTAAAAAACTATGGTGTAAAAAAAATAAATATTTTATGGTTTAGAAGCTATCTGACAAATTGATCACAATACATTTCTTACAATGATGGTAAAACGACCGATATGAATATAATGTGTGGGGTCCCTCAAGGTTCTATATTGGGGCCACTCCTATTTCTCATCTAAATCAATGATTTAAGTATAGCATGCAGTAAACTAGATACAATTTTATTTGCAAATGGTACAAACCTATTCTATGCACATAATGATATAAAGATTCTGTTCACATCTATAATTAAAGAGCTAATAAATCTTACTAAATGGTTCAGTGCAAATAAATTATCACTAAATATAACCAAGACGAAATATACTTTCTTCCATCGTTTTCATAATCGAGATAATATTCCATTAAAACTTCCAAAACTCTGTATTGACAATCAAGATGTAAAAAGAGAAATCACTTTGAAACTTCTCGATGTTCTGCTTGATGAAAATGTGACGTGGAGAGATCACATACATTATCTCAAAAGTAAAATCTCTAAAAACATCGGTCTGATTTGTAGAGCAAAACCTTTTTTTGAATCCATATTGCTTAAAATTTTTATATTTCTCTTTCATTCATTTTCATCTAAATTATGCAAACATTGCTTAGTGCAGTACAAATAAAAATAAAATAAAAAAACTTTTTAACAAACAGAAACATGCAATCAGAATCATATCCAATGTGGGACGTTTTACACATTCCCAAGATTGTTTATTAAGTTAAATATAATGGATATCTACCAAATAAACATCTATCATCTTATATTTATGTTCAAAATTAATAAAAATTTATCTCTTAAAATATTTAACCCGCTATTCAAAATAAATCAGAACAGATACTTAACCAGATACTTGTATAACAGCTACCATCAGCCCACAAACTATTTAGCGGCTGCTAAATTTTCAATTTCTACTAAAGGACCAAAAGTATGGAATAAAATATTAAATAATGATCTTAAAACAATTGCAACGCTTAATGAGTTTAAGACCAAATTAAAGCAAAGACTGTTGATGAGCAACGTAGCACATGGTTTCTTCGAATGTATATGTAAAGATGTATACTGGTTTAAAAGGAAACTTTTAGGATTATGAGTATTTTTTGCTATACTATAGTATTTGCTTTTACTTTGGTATTTAATTTTTGTCTATTTGTTATATTAATAAGAAAAAAAGTAGATTTTGATAGTTAGAGAGGGGCATTCAAGATCTATGAATTTTAACTTTTTGTATGTTTGTTGTTTGTTTCTTATAAATATAAAAAGTCTATATAACAATATTTTAAATGCTGTAGTGCTGTAGTTTTACGAATTTTATATTTTATTATTGTGTATTACGATGTAGATTAAGGGGCTTGGCGATAAGACAAATGTATTCGTTTTGCCCCTGCTATTTGTATTTACATATGTTTTATGCTATAAATAAATTTATATGGCAAAAAAAAAAAAAAAAATTACGGTGTATACTAAAAAAAAAAAAATTCATGATCATTACTTTCGCAAAACAATTCAAAATGCGGCAAATAATTTAATTGGTGATGCTGCCTTAAAATATAAATTATAAAGAACGCTCAAAATTCGAAATATTGGTCCTAAATATTATTTACTAAATATGTTTCATTTAGGACTGAACGCCTTATGCTGGTCACCAAGAGAAAATGACCATGATTTTATAAATGTGCATCATTTGGAGTAGACCAGTAGAGATCGATAAATATTTTATGGGATTCCTACCTGTCATTGACAGCACTGGTTTGAAAACATACTTACAAAAACTTAAAGATTAGAATTTAAATTTGCTGAACTGCAGAAACCAATAATATTATATTATATGATAGAAATTAATAATATGATAATATCGTGATGTACAAAAACGTATAATTGAACTCAATCCAAAATCATTTTCGGATTCAGTTTTGAAATTGAGTCACAGTCTCGATTTAATTTTTGGAGACATGACAAAATTGCAGTGACAATTTATTAAATTTTTCATCAAATTTATCTTTTGGCACTTCAGCACAGCAATAGCAGATCTTTAAAATTCATGTTTAAAATCTGACAGTAAAGTCTATTTTCGATACACGCTAGGAATGCAGAATCAATAGCGTGAAAACTTTTTGTTATTATAATTATCCGCAGTGTACAATGCATTGGTGGATGTAGCTGAAAATGCTAACAATTGAAAAGCAAGGACCAAAGCAACTGCAGTAGTTATAAAAGGAGAGTTTTGGGGCATTTTTCATTTTCAACCATATTTTCAATCATATATTTAATTAAATATATGATTCATTATCATTCATAGTGTGTATAAATTATATAACTAAGAAATAAATTTTTAGGTCACTTCGTGATCAATGCTACGCTAAATCATTTTTTAAGATTTAAAAATTAGTATGAACTTCGTTTCTATTGCGTGACGTCACAGGTCACATGATATTTAGATTGATCTTATGCATAGTAGAAGCATTGTCCTATAAGTGCAGCATAACTCCCAGATTGTCCAACTTTTGCATCACCAGAGTTGAGTGTCACTACCATTCTTCTACCACTACCAACGCTAGGCATACTTTCAGATGAATTAAAGTTTTTATAAAATGAAATTGTAGTTGTTGGACCAATTATACTAGTTGATTGATTCAACAATCCTGATACTTCATTATTAAATGAGCTTACATTAGATCCATTCCATGAAGAGAGATAAAAATCTTCTAAACCTGATGAAGCGTAGATGCATCGACTGTTAACATCATATCCAGAAAATGTAGTATATCCA